AAGACCGGCAATAGAGCATTTTGATTGGTTGATTTTAGTTATTGGCCCTCTGACTGCCCGAGTCGTGTAATAAATATATCTTATTAACCAAGCGCGAGGGCCGTACTGGGAGAATATCGGCCCGAGGTCTTGACAGTACGGACCGAGCGCAGCGAGGTCCGTACAAAAAAGACCGAGGGCCGATATTCTTCCAGTACGGTCCCGAGCAAGCTTGGTTAATAAGAGATTTATTATACGACTGAAGTTCAAAGGGACACAAGTGCGGTATCATTCGGGACCATTCGGGACAGTGCCCGGTCCAATACTTAGAGAATATTGGACTGGTAATAGAGCCTTTTGATTGGTTGATTTTAGTTATTGGCCCTCTGACTGCCCGAGTCGTGTAATGAATATATCTTATTAACCAAGTGTGAGGGCCGTACTGGGAGAATATCGGCCCGAGGTCTTGACAGTACGAACTGAGCACAGCGAGGTCCATACAAAAAAGACTGAGGGCCGATATTCTTCCAATACGGTCTCGAGCAAGCTTGGTTAATAAGAGATTTATTATATTACTGAAGTTCAAAGGGACACAAGTGCGGTATCATTCAGGACCATTCGGGACAGTGCCTGGTCCATTACTGAGAGAATATTGACCGGCAATAGAGCATTTTGATTGGTTGATTTTAGTTATTGGCCCTCTGACTGCCCGAGTCATGTACTAAATAGGGAATAGTAAGCAGGGCTGTGGTCTAGCAGTGCCTGGTGGCCCTTGGTGCCTTACTTTTGCTCTTGAGCGACTCAGGAATCTTAAGTTAGTATTTTTCATAAAAAAACATATGCTGGGCACTCTGGATTTCATAGTTTCAGAGCACTGGGCTCTCTTCAATTTTTCTTAAAGCACAGCCTTGAGTAAGTCATATGATACAGTAGCCCTTATTAAGAGTGCTTTTATTGATTGCTACTTCTGATCATTTAGTCTAATTGTCCCGGTAGGGGTAGTAGGTGGAGGGTTGCATAATGTATAGGGAATTGTAAATTAGAAGAAATTATGGATACTGACGTCAGGGTGTAAAGGGTAATGTAACAAACTGTACATGTATGGATTGTAGGAAGCAAAACCCAGCAAAGAGGGAAAGGTAGCCAAAGAGTCTCATCCAGCAGCTGCAGAAGTTTCAGTAAATGGTGATGCTGGAGATGATGAAACAAGTTCTTTGTTTGGAGAGGCAAGCAAGTTCCACAAACCAGGTTAATATAGCTCAGGGCCCAGTTGTTCAAAGGCCAATTAGCACCAACCCAGGGTTAAAGTTTTATATTTCTCTGTTTAAAAGCCCTTTTGGAATAATTTCCCCAGTTCTTTTTGGGGCATTCAATCATCAAATTGTAGACAAATCAAATCAAATTTCCCACTAACCCTGGGTTATCTTAACCCAACTTTGAACAACTGGCTCCAGTATACAGGCCACATCATATGGTTTGCAATCAGTGTTAATCTAATCTGTTTTTAGCTATCTTACTTCTACATGTATTTGATAATTCATCTTCATAATTTCCTCTTCTGTCTTCTGTTATCTCACCAAACTGAAATGTTTCATTCTTTACAGTATTTGTGATTTGCTAAAATTAATTATTTGAACCCTTAAAATGAATGGCATTTCTTCTTACAATACACTAAATGCAAATATAGCATCCAGTTTGAATTGCCATTGTTCTGGACTCACTAGCCTCGTCTTCACGTGGAAACACAAATTTTATTACATGTGTGAGAGGCTAGTGAGTCTAGAACAATGGCAACTCAAAGTGGATGCCATATATTTGCATTTGGTGTATATCACCCCTAAATCACACATTAAGGCAGGGCTCGACACTAACTTTTCAACTTACAAGCCAAGTGGCTAGTGACATCTTAGATGTTTTTAGATGTTATGACAATTTCAGTTTGTTTACTTGCCAAACTGGCTAGTGGAAATTGAAAACCACTTGCCAAAACTGAATTTCTTCTAGTCTGTGGCTATTGGGCTACTGTTAGTGTCGACCGAGCCCTGTAAGGTGATGAGAGCAGAGGAAATGATCAGCTCCTGATTGTTAATCAAATTCTCCTTGTCAGCACCTTAGAAAATGTACAGAGAACAGTATGGAGAATATGCATACTGATGTGAAGGGTAAACTCATTGTGATTAGGATTATTGCCAGGCCATTGATGATGACTGTGCCATAGCTTTTATTCCATGCACATGTAAGATGTCCTGAATGTCTAGGTAAGACACTGTGTAAAATGTTTATAGACTACATATTTTTTGCCTTTTTCAAACTTAGGTGAAAACTACCTCACACCTGCTTATGTTGTAACCCCCAAGACAATGACGCTGCTAAAGGAACATCTAGAGAGAACTGGAGGAAGGGCAAGTGTCAGAAAGTTTCATTGTGCAAATAAAGAAAAGACTCAGAGGATTTGCAGTTTCAATGTTCTGTGATACACTATTCTGGAGACATGTATCCTACAAGTTATGAACTGTGAATCCTGTTAATCCTGTTAATCTTGTTAATCCTGTTAATCCTGTTAATCCTTTAAACCCATGAGTGACCAGCATCTAATTTCTCCTTTTTGCTATTATTCATTAAAACCCTTTAACTCCCATGAGTGACCAGGAGAGAATTTCTCCTTACATTATCAATACAATATCAAGCAGCTAAGTGAAGAGAATAAAGAAAAATGTCAAGTAGGGGATGATAAGTGGATAAAATACTGAATTCTCCCAACTTACCTCATAAGAACTGTATGAAAGAGAGTGAGGAGAATTGCCACTGAGATCTTGGAAGTGAAAGGGTTAAGATCATGAGTATAACAGAAATGATAACCAACTTAATTAAGACAATTTGATTATTAAACAAATTCTCCTTGTCAGCCCCAAAGGAAATCTATAGAGAACAGTATGGAGAATATGGATACTGGTGTCTGGGTGTAAAGGGTTAATTGTCTGAGTGCTTGGGTCGGAAAATTGGGGAAGATCATAACAATTACTTGACTCACACCCTGCAGTCTCGCATTTTGATGACTTTAATTCTACTCTTAGACTATTTCTGCATTTCTCGAGTTTACATGTAATAAGTGCACGCTAATTACAGAGCATCTTTTGACAAGCTAGAATTAATTACATGAAGTTAATTGAGGATTCTCCCTGTGTAGGTGCAAACAAGATTCCCTCCCGAACCTAATGGTATTCTTCACATTGGTCACGCCAAGGCTATAAACTTCAACTTTGGTTATGCAAGAGTAGGTTGACTCATAATGATGTATTACAGTTAACTATAGAACACTTGTTGTGATTATATTATCTGATTGTTGGGGTTATGGTAGTCTTGAGCGGGAATGTGGCCAGTTGGGGTGACTGACGTTTTGACAACCCTAGCTAGCGTAACATCATCAGAGTGGAGTGAAGAGTAATTTGGATATATCAACAAAGTTGAAATGGTAAACTGGCCACCGTAACGATTACAAAAGCTGACGTTTCGAGCGTTAGCCCTTCGTCGGGGCAAACGGAGTGAAGAGTGCTTGTCAGTGTGATACCGTCAGTTAAGTCTGGTTTGTGGGGTGAACTGATAAACCAGTTTTGCAGTGATGTTATTGCATGGCTGACAAGTAGTGAAAGTCTGTGGTGATTACTTAGTTTTGATCCATTGTGATGTGAGGTTATTCTTTTTGGTTTGTTTTGTAAAGTCATAATTACATACAAGTCACGGTGTGCGTGAGAACCATAGGACAATTGCGAACAACATGGAGGAGAATGGTACTAGATTAGAAGAATTTTGGTATTGGTTTGGGGATTGCCACGAAATTAGCCTAAGACAGGGCACTTTGCGGCGACCCTGTTGAGGCCTTGCATATTAGTCCCACTGGGGACAATGAGATTGAATTTATGGTGCTGCTAGTTGTTGGCATTTGTCAGGTTTGACAGATTCCTGGTACTTAATCTCATCTCATCAATGTTATCATCATTATCAGAATTCTCATTATTATCATTCATAACTCTTGTCACTATTAATACTGGCGTTGAGAGATATTTATTATTATTCATATATTCAAGATATTTATTATTATTTATTATTATTAATATATTATTTATTATTATTTCTTATTAATTCTCCTCAGGCCCACAATGGGGTTTGCTACTTGAGATATGATGACACAAACCCAGAGAAGGAAGAGGAGAAGTTTTTCACAGGCATTTTGGATATGGTCAGATGGCTAGGTAATTAAAATACTTTTATCAAACTTTTGTATTTAGCGGGCTGTACTGTAACAGTTGGTGGAGGTGTGGTGGCCTCATGGTTGGTGCTCTCGACTCCGGATCGAGTGGTGCGGGTTCGAGCCCCGGCCGGGACATTGTGTTGTGTTCTTAGGCAAGACACTTTACTCTCACAGTGCCTCTCTTCACCCAGGTGTATTAATGGGTACCGGCAATTTAATGCTGGGGGTAACCCTGCGATGGACTGGCATCCCATCCAGAGGGGAGTAGAAATACTCCTAGTCGCTTCATGCTACAGAAACCGGAGTTAAGTGTCGACCTAATGGTCGACTGGGCTCGTAAACAGACTTTACCTTTTACTGTAACAATTAAATACAGCCTAAATTGACCAATCATAGTGCAGATGCTAACTTATCATTATCTCTTTATTGTTTTGTTTTTGGTTTTCCTTGTTAAATCAACTCTGAGTCGTGTGTAGCTTCTCCACCTGACTTTGTTATTCCGTATTCAATTATTTTGCTGTTTTGCAGGTTTTGAGCCATGGAAGATAACCCATGCTTCAGACAATTTTGGAAAATTGTATGATTTTGCAGTAGATCTCATTAAAAGGTGAAAATTTTTATACTGATGTGAATCTAATTAACAAATGGTAAACACCACAATGTCAGCATTGAGTTATGTATGCTGTGGTGTTTACCATCTGTTTGCAACAGTAAAAAAAACCACTTTCTTACAAACTGTTTGCTTACTTGGAGATATTAGCTCATGTCAGCAGCATACACCTGTGGACAAATAGTAGAAACTGAATTGACCAATCAAAGCATGCGCTCTACATGATTATGTTATAAGTTGTGCTGTATAACAACAAGTCCACAAGATAAAGTAACAACAATTTTTACTTTTTTTTAAATATTATCCTGATGATTAAGGGGACAAGCATATGTCTGCCACCAGCAGTATGAAGAAATCAAAGGCCATAACCCCCCACCCAGCCCCTGGCGGGACAGACCAATAGAGGAATCACTGAGACTGTTTGAGGTTTGCTTGAATGTTGATTTCCACAATTAGCTTGTGAAGGGGTGGCAATGGTAAAATCCTTGACTCTTGAGCTGCTGAGACCCTTGTTTAGAAATCTAAGATCCAAGCCAAAGAGTAGCCATGCAAGTGAAGTTCCTTGTACGATGGCTTTACCCAGATAATTGTAAGGTACTAGTAATCACAAGAAGATTATGAGTAAGTTTCAATACTCTCTTGAAAGTTGTTTTTTTTTTCCCTTGTATTTGACCAGACAAGGTTTAACATTTTACCAACAAGTAACTCTCCTGTCCACTCTTTTGATGACCTGCATTTAGGTTGTTCAGCAGGGCCCAGTCATCCTAAGGGCAGATGACAATATCCAACAGATAAATAGTTTTATTACACGACTCGGAAAGTCAGAGGGCCTATATTAAAATCAACCAATCAAAATGCTATATTGCCGGTCAATATTCTCTCAGTATTGGACCGGGCACTGTCCCGAATGGTCCCGAATGATACCGCACTTGTGTCCCTTTGAACTTCAGTCGTATAATAAATCTCTTATTAACCAAGCTTGCTCGGGACCGTACTGGAAGAATATCGGCCCTCGGTCTTTTTTGTACGGACCTCGCTGCGCTCGGTCCGTACTGTCAAGACCTCGGGCCGATATTCTCCCAGTACGGCCCTCGCGCTTGGTTAATAAGATATAT